TGTATTTTTTGCTGTATGACTTCAATCGAAAGTTTAAGAAGCCAGTGACAAAAAAAAAGAAAAAAAAAAAAAGAAACCCCGGACCGAAAACCCAAAAACCCATAAAACAACATCTGCTTAAATCTCCCTTTCCGCTGTGACTACAAAGAAGCTCTCTGATTGGTTTCCGACAGCATGTGCCTGTGATAGATGCAATATTTACAGGTTTGCGAAAGCAAAACCTGTTAGTGGTTTCTGGTCCGGCGTTTTTTCAAAATGAAAAAAAGAAGAAATGAAGAGGCGAATGAAGAGAAGCGACAAATAAATTTGGCGTGGCCTAAGCAAGGAATTTCCATCTCAGATGAAGTGGACCAGGATGCGGTCAGGGCCGGCATCGCGCACTGGGAGCAGCACACCTGCATCAACTTCGAGCTGACCACCAACGTCAACCAACCTCACCTCAGGTTCAAGAAAAAGACTGGCTGCGCGTCATACGTTGGGTATCTGGCCACGTTTTCTACCGGCCAAGACGTTCTCATCAGCAGTGGGTGTACTTCCGTGAGTTTGTGCGCTGTGAAGCGTATCATATGTTAGTCGAATGTGCGGATTTAGCCTCGGTAGAGTGGCATTACTGGCAGCCCCTGTGAGTCAGCGGTGCGGCTGGATTGTCTGAATTGTAGCTCTAATGTAAACACGAATCTCTAAGCGTGGTACGCCATGTTGCCTTTCCTTCCCCAGCTCGGCACCGTCGCCCACGAGATCGGCCACGCCATGGGCTTCTACCATGAGCAGTCCCGCCCAGAGCGCGACTTGCACGTTCATATCAACGAGGAGAACATTAAGGATGGAAAAGAAAGGAACTTCGAAAAGAAGTCGGACTCCCTCGTGGACGACAAGGGCGTCGCTTACGATTACACGAGTGACATGCACTACAGCGGATTTGTAAGTTTAATTGAACACTTTTGTACTGAACTTTCATCTCTGCAAAGTACAGACAACTCGCCTTGATCGGGAGAAAAGGTCCCTTTAACCGGTGGCTGTTCCTCCGTCAGGGATTCAGCAACAACGGCCACCTGACCATCGCCACAGTGGATCCGCGCAACCAGGAGCTGATCGGTCAGCGTGAGGGCCTCTCGCACCGGGACAAGCACCTCGCCAACCTCATGTACGGCTGCATCGGTCAGTGCTTCTCCTTTGCGCTTTTCGTCGGTTTGGTTTCCAATTGCTGGCGCTGAATAAAACGGTGAAAGGATAGAAATGATTTAGGATTTTCTCTTGTTTTCCTTCGCGGGACAGACAAGTGGATGGGGAAGTGCGGAATCAGCAGCGACCCCTGCGAGAACGGCGGTTACTATGGCAAAAATTGCGCTTGCGTGTGTCCGCCAGGAACATCCGGGTCCTCGTGTGAAACCCTTGAGCAGGATTACTTTGGTAAGAATATAATCCATCAACAATATAACACTAACACATAAATCTAAAATGATATTTTCTCTAATGTATCTTTTTCTTTTTTAGCTTCACAGCGCGGTGACTGCAGTCTGAAGATCACCAGCCCTACTACGGTCACCTCGCCCAACTACCCGAGCAACTATCCCTATGGTAGGTATTAGGGGTTTGTTTGATTTTTTTTTCTTTTTTAGTTTTGAATCTTGATAGAAAAAATAATTGCATATATATATATATATATATATATATATATATTATATATATATATATATATATACAATATATATATATATATATATATATATATATATATATATATATATATATTATATATATATATATATATTATAAGCATAAATATATATACACATATAATATATACATTTATACACATTTATACATACAGACAAACCTATCTCTCTCTATATATATGTACATATATATGGATATATGTATATATTCGTATGCATACACACCCACACACATATATACATATGTATATTTATTACACACATACATTTACATATATTTATGCAAACACAATATATATACATATATATACACATATATAATACAGACACACATATGTGTTTTAGTGTATACACATATATATATGTATACATATATACATATAAATATACATACATACCTATATCTATCTATCTATATATATGCACACACATTAACACACACACAGACACACATGCACACATATGCTTCTATACAATATATATATAGACAATTATACATACACGCATATGTATATAAATATATACATACATATATACACATAAACACGACCAGCACATACACATATACAAACATAGGCATATAAAAAACACATATATGTATGCATATACACACAAATGTGTATAAACATACACATATACAAAAAAATGTAAACATATACATATACATACATATATATATATATATATATATATATATATATATATATATATATATATATATATATATATATATATATATATATATATGTTTACACACATGTATTGACAAGATCACAGTGGGAGTTTCCCAGGACTCAGCATCCATTTTCCTACTTCTCTTCCCGGCCGCTTCGCACAGGGCTGACCTGCGCCAAGTGGGTCGTGGCGCCCGAGTGTAAGCTGGCCAAAGTCACCTTCACCGCCTTCAGGCTGGCTTCCTGCTCCGCGGGGTGGGACAAACTAGAGATTCGAACCAACAACCGCTACGATGGCAACTTGTAAGTTCTGTTTGGCCTTGCAGTCCAGGACAAATAATTTCCCACGTTTCCATGTAATATTCTGCTAGGATGGCAGCCATCTTTATCACTATCCTGAGAATGTCCACTTTCATAATATATCCGTCGACAGCTACTGCGGGACCGACATCGCCCCGGGCACCTCGATCACGTCGACCACCAACGAGATCATCATCATGTTCTACACGAGGTCCAACACCGAGTCTGGTTGGTCAGCGGATGTCACCTTTGTAGATGATCCCAACTGCGAGCCACCAACCACTCAGCCGCCCACTACACAGCCACCAACCACTCAGCCGCGCCACCAACCACTCAGCCCCACTACACAGCCACCAACCACTCAGCCGCCCACTACACAGCCACCAACCACTCAGCCGCCCACTACACAGCCACCAACCACTCAGCCGCCAACTACCGAGCTACCACCGACTGAGGCAACGACCGCTCCACCATCTTCTCCACGCTGTTCCCTAGACTCGACTGCCACAGGAGTGGCTTGGCGCTCACCGTACTTCGGCTCTAAAAACTATCCAAACAATTTCCACTGCGGACTTGTTGGAAGCGCCGTAAGAATTTCGATTGGCCAAGTGTTTGTTTTTTGCCTCCTTAATGACTATATCGGTCGTAGGTGACCCGTTTTGGATCTAAGAGCACCGGCTGACGCCATTTCCCTTGCAGGGATCGCCATACATGACCACCTTCAAGCTCAACACCTTCCAACTGCAGTGGAAGAAGCGCAGGAGATGCGTCGACTTTGTTGGCATTCAGATTCCTTACAACAGGACCCTCAAGTAAGACCTGAACTAAGATTTTACTCTAACGATAAACAAGTGATTTTTAAAACCCTTTTTCTTGCAACTTTGATCATTCAGGATTAGGTAGCAGGAAAGCAAAAAGGTAGGCAAACGGGTAATCATCAGTGTACGAATAGGGATTAATATGGAGCAGAAAGGAAAGGAAGAAAATAGAAATCATTTATTTATTGTATTTTGAGCAAAAGAATACGAAGATAATATCTAAATAAAATCCAGTTGTTAGCAGCTCCTGTTGAGGTAATGACTCATGAACGGGCATCTCATCCTGCTTCCCTTTCCCCTTCCCAGGCTCTGCGGAAGCAAGAAAGGCGCCGTCGCAGTGCCCAACTTGAACCTAAACATCAGCTTCGTCAGCGATGCCTCGAAAACGAACGTGGGCTTCGACATCGGCATCACGTGGCAGAAGACGAGTTGCCATCGCGTCATTGAGCTCACGGAGGACGACGCGACGGGCGTCATCCGGAGCCCAAGATTCCCGAAGAAATATAAGAAGGATACTGTATGCGAGTGGTGGATTAAGGTAAGCGGTCTGGCACATTTTCCCTTTGCGTGAGATGATTAGAGATAAGCATCTCTTCTTAAGATTAGGAGCCTCTTATTCCCATGATGTGAATTCACCTCCTCCTTTGGTTCCGTGTGTGCAGGCTCCCAACGGCAAGCGAATCCAACTGGACTTCACGACGATAAACCTCCGGGACAAGAAATGCGTCAACTCCTACATCGCCGTCGACAAATCAGGCTCTGCCGAGTACGTCCCCGAAAACAGCTCCCTCTTCTGCGCTGTCAACAAGTCGGGCAGCGTTATTTCGGACGGGAATGGGATGAACGTTGCCTTCGCCGGAGGCAAGAAGAAGTCGAAGGGCTTCTCTGCACGATACACGCTCGTGTAAACGCCAAGGATGTGGCGCTGTGGACGCTGCGGCGACGACGACCGTTTCTGTTCGATATTGGCCTAAACCTGGAACTACTTCAGGCATACCTCTGCACACTCATGCACGCACAACACACATACATGTATGTGCCCGCACGCAGTATGCATTTTGGGTATCCCTGTAAATCTTCCTGCCAAATGAATAATAATTTGTTAAGCCAATATTTTCAAATGTATTTCGAATGGAATAAATATGGATAACCAGCCCAGTTTATTATTCTTGCGTCCACTTCGACCTTTAAGTAATCATTCATTTGGATTGCATTTGTGACAAAGACAATTAATGATGAGATTAACCAATCGTAAAATCTAGTCATTGAACAGCCGACGGACAATAGATTTTCCTGCTTAGATTCAGTATATTGCTCTTATGTATGTGACGAGGTATCAAGTCAGTCAAGTTGGTCCCACAGCCTTCTGGACCATGTCGGTTGCCGAACATGCATTCCAAGTCGTGCGTTGATAAAGTACCTTGAATTCCTATCATTAGCTGGAAATAAATGACATTCTAGGATATAAAACCAATAGTTTAGTAATTCCACACATTTATTTCTTTTGTTAATCATATCATGATTCTAGTGTG